CTTGGTAGCCCAGGCTGGCCTCGAACTCACAGAGATCCGCCTGCCTCTGCCTCCCGAGTGCTGGGATTAAAGGCGTGCGCCACCAACGCCCGGCTCCAATTCCCTACTTCTGAAGGTAAAACCAAGCACAGGTTCTTCCCTCTGATAAAGTCACTTTACCACCATAATTTGGGACCTCCAGACCCAGTGTGGAAGGAAGAAGGGTCCATACCAAGAGAGCAGAAGTCCCAGTTCTCATTGTCAGCAGGACAAAGGAGAAAGAAGAGAAGGTCCCTACAAGACCTGAAAACCTGCAAGTGGTGTTGGAATGGGTCCCCTAATCAAGGAGAAGAAGGGTCCCATCTGGCAGTGCTAGCAGATTTGTGGGTCACAGCATGGACTGAAGGCATGTCCTCTCTGGATCACAGCAAGTCCCTTAAAGGAGCCTGGTTTGGGGTATGGACACATTGAGAAGGGTCCCCAACATTCAGGGACTGGATCCAAGCTGATCTCACACAGGTAACTCGTCAAGCTTCTCAAGCTAGCACCTAAAATCATTTTAGGTCAGATATTATCTTTCATGCTCTCCTTTTTATCTCTGTTATAATTCAAAGCCTACAGGCTTCATCCAGTCTGGTGAGCAGAGAGAAATGGTGTCGCAGTATTGAGGCTATTCTTAGAAGGCCCAGGTTCAACAAGGATGCTGTCTCAGGAGCTTATACAAACCCAAACACCATGAAATACACTTGTAAAATGTAGTCCTGGATTTGTCAGATCTGCAACTCTGAAAGCCAAGGAAGGAATTATAAACCAAAACACGACAGGAATTCTTTTTCATTATGTTTAATGTTCTAGTCAATCTTCTATTGCTGTGAAGAGACACCATGACCAAGGCAACTCTTATAAAAGAAAGCATTTAATTTGGGGGCTTGCTTACAATTTCAGGAGCCATCAGGGTGGGAGCATCAACACTCAATGAGCTGGAGCAGTGGCTGAGAGCTACAACCTCATTCACAGGCTAAGAGAGAGAGACCTCAAAGCCCACCCCCAGTGACATGCTTCCTCCAACAAGGCCACACCTCTTAATCTTCCTAATCCTTTCAAATAGTGCCATTCCCTGGTGACTAAGCATGTAATATGTGAGCCTATAGGGGCCATTTTTATTCAAACCTCCACAATGATACAGTTCTCCCCATAGCAAACCAAACCCCGCCATCAAAAAATGATCTGTGCTCTCATAGACTCCAAAGGCAAGATACCTGAATTTCAATCCTTGCCTCTATAGGGCTCCTCAAAGCTTAAATAGTTCCTTGAAAAATAAAAAAAATTAAAATAATTTAAACAATAAAATTACCAGATCAGAAAATAAGAAAGGGGCATAATTTGTTGAGAAAAACGAAAGGGGGGACTTCATATAAAAATGAGCATTTATATTCTTATTAAATTAAGAAATCATGATTGAGGTCCCCTCCCCCCAAAAAAAGGAACACCAGATGTGGTGATATATCATGTATCCCAATATGTTGTGTACCCTAATAAATTTATCTAGGGATCAGAAGACAGAGCCAGCCACTAGATTAGACATAGAGGCAAGACAGTGGTGGCACACACCCTTAATCCTATCACTCAGGAGGCAGAGATTGTCTGGGTCTCTGTGAGTTCAAGACCACACTGGAAACAGAGCCAGGCATGGTAGCACACACCTTTAATCCCAGCACTTGAGATCTCATGCCTTTGTTACCAAGTATTTGTGAAGCACACATGCCTTTAATCCCAGCACTAGGAAGGAAGGAAGATGGCAGGGCACAGAAAGGTATATAAGGCCTGAGTAAACAGGAAGTCTCTCTGGAGGCTGAGGAGTTGATACGGTAAGGCTGGCTGTGGCTTGTTCTGTTTCTCTGATCTTTCAGCTTTTACCCCAATATCTGGCTCTGGGTTTTTTATTAATAAGACCATTTACCAGTTCGTGTTACAACCAGAGGCAGAGATGGCTGAGCAGTTAAGAGTACTCGATGTCTCTGCAGAGGACCCAGGTTTGATTCTTAGCTCTCATCTTTAGCAGCTCACAACTGCCAGAAACTCCAGCTCCAGGGGAATCAGACACCTGTGGCCACAGCAGGCACCTACACGCATGTGCACACAGCCACATATAGATACACAATTAGGAAAAATAAGTGTTTTTTAAAATCAATACTGAATGTGTCGACATACATTTTAACAACTGAAATTAGATGCAAACTCATTAGGGCTGACTTGTATCATACAGGTGGCCCTCTTCTGAGAACTAGACTGAATCTTTATCATGACACAGTTTTAGTTTTAGTAGCTTCTATTTCTGATGACTACTTAAAATTCACATCAAAATAACAAACTGACCTGTTACAGAGACATTGTGACCATTTAAAAGGACACATAGCTTAGACTTCCAAAGGTGGAATGTACCCTTACTTGCCTGAAATTCTGAGAGAAGCATAAATGAGTTTTGTTTCAGGAATATCATTTTTTGTTTGTTTTAATATTTATTTATTCCTAATTTACCTTTGAAAACCAATTTCTTGGTTTTCAAAACAAAACCCAGCTCCCACATGTCTTAACTAAAAGGTTTTTAATGTACTTTTGGGGATGGTAGGACAAGACTCCATAAACTAGGTATAGCTTATAAACAAAAGAAAGTTGTTTCTCACAGTTCTAGAGGCCAAGATGTCCAAGGTCAAGGTGCTAGCAAATTTGGAATCTGGTAAAGGCCTTTGCTTGGTGTGTCCTCGTGTGTTTTGAGGGGTAACATTCCGTGGCCTATTTTACAGCCTCATCCATGGGGCTCTACCCTCGACTCCCGCACAGCTCCATTTCCTAATGGTATCACCTTTTGAGTTAGGATTTCAAGGAGACCCGAGCATTCAGACTGCAGCAGATGAGGGAGAAGAGGACACACAAGTAGTAAGAGGGCAAAAGGAAGACAGCATTCCTGCAGCCCCCTTCCAGCTTCTTCCTCTGTAGATGTAACGTCTTTTTTAAATAAGAAACACAGAGCCAAATGCAGAATTAAAAGCCCAAGAGGTCAGAGCAGTAGCTAAAAGCTGATTCTAAAAACCCCTTTTTACCCTTCACTGCTGTTGCTGTCCTTCCCCTCAGCAAGAGACCTACTTCCTGTGTATCTGTCTTTTTATTGACTTTCTGTTCTGCCTTCTCATTGGTTGTAAACCCAACCACATGACCTGCCTGTCTATACAGACCTCCAGGTCTCTATGGTTGGTATTGAGATTAAAGGCGTGTCTCCATGCTCGCTGTATCCATGAACACACAGAGATCTGCCTGTCATGTGATCGGGATTAAGGGCATGTGCTACCACTGCCAGACTTCTGCTACGGCTTGCTATTAGCTCTGACTCCCAGGCAACTTTATTTATTAATATACAAATAAAATCACATTTCAGTACAAATAAAATATCACCATATTCCTCTTCCTGTTCCCCAGACTGCCTAAGCATTTCATGAGGGCTCCTACAGATGAACTCGAAGTCTGGTTGGGTGGCATGCTCTGTGGAATCTATTTACTTAAAGCAGTTCTGTTAGGAAAATGCTTGTGGAACATTTTGTTTCTGATCTATATTTATTAAGAATTGTTGGGAGGAGGCAAAAGGGAGAGAGGATGATTTAAACTACAGAAATTGGCTCCTCTCGAAAATTCATCTTAGAAAGTTAAGCTTTAAAAAGAGAACTGAACTCTTCGGATGTTAATATTCTTTTTCTTGGGCTTTAAGGGACCTGATGCCATTTAAACCTAACACACAAAAAAGTGAAACACAAAAATCAGATTTATCAAAAAGAGACAATCAGGTTGCTGGTCTTTTCCCAGTTAATTTATCCAGTTGTTTCCCTAAATATCCAACTCCCTGGCTCATGTAAGACATTTTTGTTACAATTTTTTATATAGGCTTTTTTTTTTTTTTTTTTTTTTTTTTTTTTTTTTTGGTTTTTCGAGACAGGTTTCTTTGTGTAGTTTTGGCTCCTGTCCTGAATCTTGCTCTAGAGACCAGGCTGGCCTTGAACTCACAGAGATCCACCTGGCTCTGCCTCCTGAGTGCTATGTTTTACCATGTGTTATTGGTTTTTTTTTACCTTTCATTCTGTATGTCTGACTCCCTCCATGTCTCATTGGCATCTCCCTGCACCTTGATTATCTCCTCCAATTTCCTCTCTGCCTGGAAATCCTGCCTATACCTCTATCTAGCTATTGGTCGTTTAACTCTTTTTTTAAACCAATCACAGTAATATGTTTTCACATGGTGTACAAATATCCCACAATATATTTTTATACAGTGTACAAATATCCCGCAACATATTTTGTTACAATTTTTAAAAATACTTCCCAAATGGAAAAGCCCCTGACACACTTCTATTATATTTTTCATGCTCAAAACAAACACAAATTCTCCATGTGACAAGCGTGAATGAGAGCCCCAAACAGAATTTAATCAACAACTCTTACCTTGGGCACAAAAGACTGAGTATAAGGTTTGATTTAATGGGGGCTAGGCACCAGTAACTCAACCCAGACCACAAAGAATGCTGTTCACTTCTCCAAGGATGTGTCAATGTCTCGATGACTGAGGCCTTCATCCTTCTTCGGGTTTCATTCATGCTCCCCTGTGAAATTTAAAGATCACATCTACATGTGGTATTGAGAAAAAGGTGGATAATTGACACAGCCAAGGAGAAAAACATGAACTATCCTAACCACAGATCCAGCTCAGCCTCGGAATTGCCTGTGCTCTGAGCCCCTTCCCCTACATCCCTGGTTCAGAATAAGGCAAAGCATTTGACCTCTTTGTATAATAGCAGAGTAGTGGCACTCAGAGCACTTACCTCCCAGTGCTATGTGTGGAGTTAATGAAGTTCTTGGTTCATGGCAAATATGCCCAGACGTACTGGATGTTATTAAGTGGGAGTGTTAAAGACATTCCACTCTGCTGTTCTATAGAACAATTGCTGTGCATGAAAGGGTGTCAAGTTTGGAACTGGGTGATGGAGTGGGTCTTCTAAATTCCCCATTCTCACAAAACTCAAGTCTACTTAGAGATCTCAGTCTTAAAAGTGCATATAATATCCTAACAAGCAACTTCCTGTAGCATTCCCATCACTGGGCACCACCGGGATTAAACTGGTGTGGAATTACAGAGCATGGGCTCTAGGTTCTCAGAGCTCCTCTAATGATCCTATGGCTCTTGAGGCCTGGAGGCCTGAGAATTTGCTGACCACCTGTGTGGTCTGTTGGATGCTGACAGGGGCTTCCAGGATGAAGACAGATCATGTATCATTATCCATTACATCAGTCCCCCACCAGCCACCAAATGACAAGTCCCTCAGATGCCGGTGCCCAAATCTAGACGGAAATGCTGACAGGAGCTTGGGCTTTGCCAGATGAGGTTGCTTTACTTTCTGCTGCAGTGGGAACAGGTGTAAAGGATCCTCTAGGACAGGTGAGACTAAAACCTATGGCCACTACTGTCCCAGGAGCTGGGGCCACAGCCTATGCCCACATCAGAAACCAGCCCTTTAAACCAGCACTTTAACTTTTCTCTTCGCTTGTTGTTATTCTTGAGTTTTACAAAAAGCAGGAGACTACAATTTCCCGTGTCTAAGGAACTTCTGCCGAGTTCCTTGACTACCATCTACTTAAAAGCCTGACAGTAAGGCTGGTTCCTGCTCTCTCCCCCTGAGGGTTAGCTCCAGACAAAATCTGGGAGCAGACGGGGAGACTGTAAGCATTCAGTTGGCTCGAGCTGGTGTATGTGGTCAGCACCCCTCACCTAACGAGGGCCTACCACTGCCTGGGGGACTGGGACCATCAGAGACAGCCTTTGGAGCCCACTCCCATAGAGGATTCTCAGTCATGACACTAGACATGGGCATCAGCTCACTAAAGGCCAGAACATAGAAATAATCATCTCTTCAAGAGAACTTGGGGTACCTGTGGCGTTTGGAGGGTTTATGGGATTTTCCTATTTGTCAGAGGGACTGTGTTCATTTGATAAGAAATTTTTATCATTTTCAAGTATGCCAGAGATATTCCACTTATACCCCAAGTCCCATGTCCTGACACATCAGAATAGTGATACATCAATGTCGTATACTTCCTCTACCCACCTTCTCCCCATTCCACATCTACCAGGACAGACAATGGGACTCCCTGTTTGGGATTCAAAATTTCTTGATATTTTTGTGACTAAGGGTCTTTTTCATTTTTTTCTGGGAAGCTGAGACCAAGGAAGCCAGAACAGGGAAGGTAGACCACGGTGGAAGCTGATGTGGAGCCTCAGAGGAGCTAGGTTGGGGTCTGTCAATGGAGTCCTTGGGAAAGTAGAGCAGGGACACGTAGTGGAGATCGAGGATGCTCTGCTGTGTGTCAAGGAATCCCCCACTCTAGAATCTGTCTTCCCAACCTCAGGGGTAGCACCAGTCTCCTCTCACAAGTCCTTGACCTTGCTTTTCCCCAGGTCTACTGGGTCACTCATAATAAATGCCCAGGTACCTTCAGAGTCGCCTAGTCCATCTTGTTTGGATTTGTTTATTTCAACCTGGAGACCCTTCCCTACTTCTGTCCTTTGGGATCCTTGACTTACTAGGGATCCAGGTTCAAAAAGTAACATTAATCAAAGGAAGAAAGGCCACTTCAGGGAAAGGCCTATGGACATCTTCCAAACCTTGTGTGGGGACTCCTGTTAGTAAAGCAACCCATTTCCCAAGACAGAATTGGCCAAGGGGGTGGGTGTCTATCTTCTTTCTTCCTAGCCCCTCACATCAGTGTCCAGATATCAGCTTTGTGAAACTTGATTTTACCCACATAGAAACTTAATGTAATTGGGCATTTGGTAACTGTGTGTGCTATGTTCCGTGGGACAGCCTAATGAAGGCATCGAGACTCTTGCAATGAGAGATTAAGTGCCCTAGAATCCACTCTTTAATCTACCAAGCAGAACGTTCTAAAGGAAAGCCTACGGAATGGGCAATTATCAAGATGTCCTCCTTCCTTTGTGCCGAAGGCAGAGAGCCCTGCCAGCCCCTCGGGCAAGGCTGAAGCATAAATGACCCTCAAGGCAGACTTTCAGGTGCCTGACTAGGGAAGTCTAGTAGGTCATCCCATTCTCCTTCATTGCAAAAAGGCCTGGTCCTTTCTGATGACCATAAGATACAACACGATTCCTCCTAGGGGGAAACATTCAAAGGTAGCTCTTGTCCCCATACTGCCTGGGTGCCAAAGGGCTGCCATTTACAGACACACCTACTCCTTGGCATTCTTTTGTCATACTCTAGCTTTGGAAAGGCAACAGAATATGGCAATTCAGGGCATGGTCTCTGAAGTCTACTGTGCTAAGGAGTCCCATCAATCATAGTCTTGGCTCTGCCACTGACTAGCCACATCACTTTGAGCAAGGTATCTGACCTCTCTGTACCCCAGTCTCCCTACCTTAAAAATACAACTTAGTAGAAGCACCCTTCTCCTGGAGTTGTAAGAACTAAACATTAATTCACTTAGCTCATGGGATGGACTTGGCCAGCTCTTGACCCTATGTAGGGAAGACATAAGGAAAAGTGAAGAGCTGTCTGCATGATGGCAGAAGCCAAGTTCCTCAGCCTCACCCCCATCCACAGAAATCCAGCTTCTGTCTGTCCACAGGCAAGTATGCCACTTTTGAGGAAACCACAATTATTTTGGGGGACATGGATTAAGGAAGAAAACTAAGAAATGATGACCTGCCACTCTATGGCCAAATACCTCACCACACATCAGCATTCTAGACCCACCTCAGCATCTCCTTCTGCATTCACATAGAAGCACACTTGCTGGTGACCACTCTGGAGGGTCAACAGATGTAAGAACAGTAGGAGGGTGAGTGTGGGAAGGCGGGGCCTTGCTCAGGACCCCAGTCCAAGATGAGATGGTCCATCATCTACTACACTTCTAGCCAGAATCTCGGACAACCTCCCCCATTACTCTGAGACTCCCCCATTACTGCAGAATCTACAGCTAGTTCTATTGAGACCTAACTACCTGAGCTTTCTCAGGACCCCACAGAGATACCGTCGCTCCCTAAACAGCAAGAAGTAATTCTAAGAAAACAATGCCCCCTCTCCCAAAGGTTTCATTTTTCTCTGGGTTATGGATAATGGTTATAGGGTTGGGGGTGGAACAATAAAAGTTAGACTATTATCCTTAAAAAAAGAAAAAGGGGAGTGGATAGGTATAGGATATTAAGGTAGATTATTGTATATACTAGTAAATTAATTTAGTAAAATATCAGCCTTAGATAATTTGCACACTTATGGACTCTTGTAAACTATTTTATGTTCCTATTTAAGGTAATTTGTATAAGAATACAAATATAAAACTATATTTGTTATATTGTACATATATTTCTACTCCTATTTGAAATATCTTATATAGTGATACATAAAATTATATCTGTTATATGTTCTACCTCTGTTTAAGATATTTTGTATATTGATACATATTCAGGATTGATGTCATCTTGCATATTGCACTATACATTTCTACCTCTGTTTAGGACATTTTATGTATTGTCACAATTTTGAGGTCATTGTCCTTTTATGATACATTTGTTTACAGACTGTTTACCTTGTTTTTGTGAAGCCTTAGTCCTTAGGTTATTTAGGTAGATAAATAAGACTTACAGTTTTATAGCCACCCATGCTTGTCATTTCTATAGTTATGTTAATTAGGTTCTCCAGATTTACAGATACATAGGTCAGATGGATAGGTAATCTTCAAACACTTCATAGACCTAGAGAATATGACATTTAAATAACTTAGATTCTGTTGATGTGAGACACATTGCTCCTGGCAGCACCAATCTGATTCTGAGAGAATGTTGGGCTTCTGAGACATTTCCATTTGGAAGCTTATCTTCTTCTTGATGCATAATGGTCTGCTGGGCAAAGAACTGCCCTTGCCTCAACTGCTGATAGCACGAATGCTGTCCTTTCTGGATGAGCGGGACACAAGGAAAAGCAACTACTGAACTCTGCCAAGACAGAGTAAGATGGTCTTTCAAAATTCCTGCTTCTGACAATGGTCTGTCAGATATTCTAGGCCTGTAGCTAAATTGGATGCCCCAATGATGCTGAGAAACTTTAGGTGACTGTCCAGGCTGCCAGCTATCTCTGTCTATTCTCGAAAAATTTTCAAAAATTGCTTGCATGCATTTCCCATTTCTCAGGTATTATTATATTCCTTCTCAGGTCTTTGATGGGGTTGAAGACTAATAGTTACAGTTACAATCTTCTCATATCTTAGCTAGAACATATTAAGTACTAGATTCAGATTCTTCAGGATAGGACAGCTTTTGGAATAATCTCTGTAACATGCCATTTACCTATGTTCTGGACATCTGTGGATTTTAGTATATGTCTCTTATTTGATGTTGTTCTTGTTGGTTGTAGTTTCATTTTGTTTAGGTCATTACTCTTTATTTCTCCTGGACAATACTTAATAATCATTCCTATTGTATATAGTTTTGTGTTAGGTTAGAACTTTCTTATTTAGACAAAAGGGGGAGACAGAGATGTAATGGGTAGCTGTTCTAGCTATGACCTTGAAGTACTGCCCCTAGTGAGGTAACAGGTAACTGTTACACCTGCCTATGACCTTGAAGCACATACCCCTGGGGCATGGCCACTTGGGACTCTTAAGACCTGGGATACATGTACAAGGCTCTCTCTTTGCTCCCTCATGGTTTTGGATGCTGGGACAGACCAGGCAGATCTCAGGAAAAAAAACTTCATGGGACCGTGCCTCACCTTTCCAGGATCCTGCAACAAATTCCTCTATTCTGTCTTGTGCATTTTCTTTCCCAAATAATTTCCTTTGCCCTTAAAGCAGACTCTGTGATTTCTCCCATTAGGGTTTCCTTGTACTGAGCCAAATGCTGGGTTTCTGTTTTGGTCTGATATAAAAGATCGATTTTTAAACAGTAGTAATACATTGTTCGTACTTCGGAAAGAAACAGGCAGGGTACCAAGGGTTTGTGTCAGAAGAGCAGGGAGAATCAATGGACAGTCACAGACTTAAGGATGAACTGAAGGAACTCCATCTGCGTCAGGAAACAGTAGTCCAGGTGGCATGCAGGGGGCCCACGGCAGGTGAAAAGAAGCTCAAGTGTCCTCTACATAAGAGGGATGGAGGTGTGGGACAGAGGGATGTGACAATTGGCTCGGGCCCCTGCTATCTGTGTTCCACTGAGGGAGGGGCAGATTCGGGGAGGGGGATTGGGGAGTTCTCAGAGCTCCTCCCCACCTCCTCCACATTTCTTAGCTACTTTGGTGACAGTGGGAGACAGATGGGAACTGTTTTTAGCAAACCACAATAACAAACAGTACTTAAGCTGCTTACTTACATGAGATAGTGATTAAAAATATCTCTGTTCATGCAGTGGGTGTTTCTTCAGGGGGTAGCTTGGTCTTTCATTGATATACTTTGTTTCAGAGATGAAATTTTCCTACAATAAAACACACCCAGCAATGGCATTACCCAGGACGTAATAAAGATTGGTAACATCTAGACATGTGACCTTTGATGTGAAGAGGTCCATGCATCCCCTATGTGTCATGCAAATGGGGTCTACTCTGTGTGTGTGTGTGGGGGGGGTTCCTCCCCTTTCACCATCTTAAGGAGATTTGTTTCCTTTAGGTTGGGAAATAAGATTAAGCCAGAGCTCCTCAGAGAGGAAGAAAAGAAACTGACTACTCCCATGGGTACCATGACCAATACCCACTTACAAACGAATGTCATCCTGCCAGCCTGGTATAAACTAGACTGTGTGGCATGATCAGCTCCAGAAACTGAGGGCCCTTTGGACACTTCACTGGAATGCCTTTAAATTCAGGTCAAGATCACCAAGCTGTGTGTCTGCAGGAAACATCAAGTACCCTCCCTAAGCTCACAGAAAACATCAAACAGCCAAAAACACCTTATTAAACTACCGAAGCCATTTCTTCCAGATCGTGGCCCGACATGGGACCCCACATAAATGTTTTCCTTCTCTGTGTTGGACTGCTGTGAACGGAGGGCGAGAGCATGCCTGGTCCATTGGACCGCTCCCGGGACCTCTGCCTGATGAATGCTGTGCCAAATGAACTGTTCACATTAACCTCCTCCGGCCTTTCCTCTGGAAACCTGCCCTGACTCTGGGCCACACAGATACCACAAAGTCAGGCTCAGAACGCCATGTTCTCTCCTGGGCAAATGCTGTAATTCTACATTGTTTCTATGGTTACTTTAGGAATGTCTGCTTCCCTCACTGGACTTCGAACTCCAATTCCCACATTTACCAGCAAGGATCTAGTTTCACCAGAACCCCTGACCTTTGGGTGAGCTCTGTGGGATGGAAGAAGGCTGCATACCCTCTCATGGATCTTCTTCCACGTGGACTGAGAACAAGGCTGGAACCTGCCCAACAGAATAAACGGAGTGGAGCATTATGCAGCAACTAAAAAGGATGCTGACTTAGAGTACTTAAAAATATGGGTTGAAAAGTAACTATAAGCTAAAATGTCAGTGTGCAAAATGGTACACCTATGATTTTAATGCTGGCATCAAAACTCCACGTGAGGGATGTGGGAATACATTCCATCAACATGGCTAAAACGAACCATTCTTCTTTGGACATTACTGATTTTCAGGGAATTTGCTAATGAGAAAATGCAACTTTTACAACCCCAAACTATACTTTTAAAACTTAATCTCAATTGTTTTCTGCCACAGACTTTATTTTACATCTCACCTGGTTTAGGCCACTCAGAGCCCAAACTCAAGCACAAGCCAGATAATGTCTTCCTTCCAGCTCCTCACACACAGAACTTTCTCTCTTCCACAGATTGCTCCGTGTAGAACACAGCAGCCTTCCCACCCAAGTCCCCACTTTCACTGACTCCCTACTGCTCTTCTGGGATGAACTCCATTGCTGATTTCTCAAGGAGTCCTTCCCGAGCCCCACCCCCAGCCCCAGCCCCCAGGTCAGCCGACCCGTATGTTGTTCATTTCACAATGCTTCTGACAGTGGACACTGGCCCCGTCTGGTTAATGTGTCCACTAGACTGAGACCCGGGCTGAGACTCTGGTTAATATCTCATCCCAGACTTAAGTGTGGTGGCACATACCTGTAATCCTAGCCCTAAGGAGACTGAGGCAGAAGGATCATGAGTTTGAGGGTAGCCTGGGCTATACAACAGAACCCTATCTCAAAGAGACAAAAGTGAAACTCCTCTCAGGTCACAGTAGGTATTGAATACCACAGTGGGCTTTAAAGAGTATTGTTTGAGGGGCTGGAGTGAGGAGAGACTCAGTAGTTAAGAGCATTTGATGCTCTTACTGAGGACCTAGGTTCAGTTCCCAGCACCCACATCTTCTGCCTCACAACTACCTTTAACTCCAGTGCCAGGGGATCCACTTCTGGTCTCCATGGGAACATGCACACATATGATGCACAGATATACACTCAAGCCCACAAAATAGATCTTTTTAAATAAATAACATTGTTTGAGTAGTGAATTTATTCATTCTGTGGTAAGTACCAAATCCTAAATTCTGAGCATCACAAAGCTAAAAGTGTACACAGAAATTTGATGATGAAAAATGCAGATACTGTTTCCTTAAAATGTTCAAAGAATTGTAACAATTCAGGTAAAATCATCCTCTCTGGTAATGTGTGAGAAACACTAGGATGGCACAAGTATTTGAGATGTTAACAAGGGTTGCTGTTAAACTATATAATTAAAAAAATTATTATTATAATTAAAAAAGGAATATGTAGGGCTGGAGAGATGGCTCAGAGGTTAAGAGCACTGACTGTTCTTCCAGAGGTCCTGAGTTCAATTCCCAGCAACCACATGGTGGCTCACAACCATCTGTAATGAGATCTGGTGCCCTCTTCTGGCCTGCAGTCATACACACTGTATACATAATAAATAAATCTTTTAAAAAAAATATATGTAGAGAACCATCCATTAGCAGACTATAGAAGGCGAGTGGTTGCTAGGACCACTATGCTGATGACCCTGACCCTCCCTCCCCCCCCCCCCCCCCCGCAGCTCCTCCTGTCTGTAGTTCGTGCCCATTGATCTCCCATTACACCCTTCTCTGGAGCAAGAACTGAGGCCCAAGGACCCAAGGAGAGCTCAGTCCACACATCTATTACCAACCCAGGAAAACAAGGGGCGGCAAAGGGCTGCACGCTCAATGCACTGCTGTGTTTCAGAAAACATCATTCATGTATTTCATATGTAATTTCTGCTCTCCCTAAGAATCTTACAAGAAATACACCAAGTCTTTAAAAATAGCCACCAGTTGGACACATAGGCCTTAAAAATACTACAGTTGCATGCAAGGACTAGAGCTGTATCATCCCAGCCTTCTCTGTAATTCTTACATACAAAAGAAGAGTGGGATTGTGTGGTGACGGCAGGCAACATGCTGCAGACGGGGAGATGGGAAGCGGGGGTCATCTCTCTTTTCTTTGGGACTACATTCTTCACTCTGGCATTCAAAAGGCGTTGTACATTTTCCATTAAAATCTTGGGCTTGAAATCCGACAATGAAGTCTACCATATGACCCAGCAATACCACTCCTTGGCAGAGGCTCAAAGGACTTGGTATCCTACTCGACAGAAACTTGCTTGGCACTGCTTATTTCTACCCTGTTTGCAATAGCTAGAAAATGGAAGCAACCTAAATATCCTTCAAGAAATGAATGGATGGGGGAAATGTGCATAGATGTACTATGGAATGCTAGTCAGTTGTAAAGAAAAATGGAATCGTGAAATTTTCAGGTAAGTGGGTGGAACTAGAAAAGATTATATTGAATGAGGTAACCTGGACCCAAACAAATGTCACATGTTCTCTCTTATTTGGGGCTAGGCTCCTAGCCTCAAATCTCCAGATGTGAGTACACAACATGAGTAACCACAGAAACCAGTAAAATATAGAGGCACTGTGGGAGGTGGGGGATTGGGAAAGGAATAGAATACAAGTGATTTAAAGGGGGAAAGAGAAAAATGAGAAGAAGTGGGGATAAATAACACCAAGGTTGTCTGATAAAGGCTCAAAGAATCATAAGATTTTATATTTACCTAAAATTATACACAAAATATGTAAGTGTGTTTGTGTGTGTGTGTGTGTGTGTGTGTGTGTGTGTGTATGTGTGTGTATCTTAAATGAAGTTGTGCCACTTGGGTTTACAATGCTCCCTACAAGAACAATACATTAACAGTACCAGGCATGAGAAACCTCCTTTTGAGTGGTTGGTCAAGGTAGTCCAAATGACTCCCCAAACAACATAGGTTACTGATGTTGCCCCGGGATACCTCTCACCAGTTGATATTAAGACCCTATTGCTGAAGACATTGAACGCTTAGGACACAGGGCTTGTATTATTTGAACTGGATCTAATCTGAAAGCACCCTCCTTGCATCTAGTTTACGCAGTATCATAAAGTACTATGCAAGCTACCAAGGGAGGGAAGCAATTACCAGTCCTACCCAGCTGTAACACCTATGAACCCCACAATGACCAGCACAGCAAGATTTCCATAAGGTGCAGTAGTGGTTCTCCATGTTGGCAGCAACCAACAGCTGTTCCAGTGTCTACTCAACAGGAAAGAAATCATGCCTCGTGCTGGAAACCTAGCCTCTACCTGGGCTAGTGAGGTTATAAATTTGAGAAGAGAATCTACTATCACCACTTTGCTAGACCAGTGTAATTCTTCAACTGCATTCTACATCTTAACCTTATAACCACAGATAAGTCTAGCTATCAGCCCTTGTCAAAGAGGCTTCCCCTTACAGCAAATAGACAGTACTGCAGAAAACCACAACTGGACACGCTGAAAAGATGAATGTGTCATGGGAAGCCCCGCCCCGGTGGATACATCTGTAGCGGAGCTCCTATATCTATGGCTCAGGGTCAATTAGGAAGAGGGTGGAAAGCTTGAAAGAGCCAGACTATGAGGAAGTCTGCTGTGTGGCTGCCTCTCCTAGTAAGAAACTGTTGTATAAACAGGATCTGAACGATGGGAAATATCAATAGCCATGTTAACATGAAAGGGGTAAAAATCTCACAGGGCCTCACCCTTAAACAAAAAACTATAGGCAACTGGTGACTGCTGAGAGAGGGAGAATTCACCTCTTCCAGGGATGAGCCCCATGACTCAATACAACATGGCCAGCCCTGAAACAGTATGTGTGTGTGAAATATTATCACATCAGTTATATCTATATATCTATCTGTGTGTGCTTTCGTGTGTGTGTGTGTGTGTGTGTGTGTAACAATAAAAAAGAGAGGCTATCAACTTGAGAGTGGGAAGGATACAGAAGGGGTTGGATGGAGGAAAAGGAAAAGAGAAAGTGATGAATTTCATTTAAAAATGTAAAGTGTTAATTTTTTAAATTGGGCTGACTACAGAATGGGAGAAAATTTTTTTGCCAACAATACATCAAACGGGAGATTAACATCTAGAATACATAAAGAACTGCCAAAATGTATCACAAAAAAACAAAGCCTGCAGTTAATAAATGGACTGGTAAACTGAATACAGTTCTTAAAGAAACACAAATGGACAATAAATAATTGAAAAAAATGGTCAGCATCCTTAGCTGGGAAATGTTAAAAAAAAACAAAAAAAAAAAAACCTGCTTTGAGAGCCCATCCTACCATTTCATAAGAATATATGCTGGCAAGGACGAGAGGAAGGAGGAGCTCCTCATTTACTGACAGTGAGAGCCTAAACTGACGCAGCCATTGTGGAAATCAGTGCAAAGTTTCTGAAAAATAAAAATTAAAGTAGAGCTACCATATGATCCTACTATCCCACTCCTGGACATGTATCAGGAGTTTTCTAAGTCAACATACCATAGAGATAGCTGTACATCCATGTTCACTGCTGTGGTGTTCACAATAGCTAGGATATAGGATCAGCCTATACGCCCGTCAATAGACAAATGGATAAGGTCAATGTGATAATATTCACAATGGGATTTTATTCTACCACAAAGAAAACAAATGCTGACATCTGCAGGAAAATGGATGGAACTGGACATTATTATATCAAGCAAACAAAGTCAGAGTCACAAAGACAAATACTGTATGTTGTCTCTCATGTAAATCATAAAACTAGAGAGGGAACTAACTATTACATTGACTAGTTTTATGTCAACTTGGCATAAGCTATAGGCAGCTGAGAGGAGGGAACTTCAGTTAAGGAAATGGATCAGGCTGCAGGCATGCCTGCAAATCATTTTCTTAATTAGTGATCAATGGGGAAGGGCCCAGCGCATTGTGGGTGGTGCTATCCCTGGGCTGGTGGTCCTGGGTTCTATAACAAAGCATGCTGAGCAAGTCATCAGGAGCAAGCCAGTAAGCAGCACCCCTCCATGGCCCTGCATCAGCTCTGCCTC